AAATCCCACCCAATGAGGTTCATGGCAATTGCTGTACCAGGCACTGCTCTGTATGTGGGCATACACGAACTGACTGAATCATCCCTGCGGTGGGACACAGCAGTTACCATTTCACAAAGGGGAAAACTGAGGTCTGGACAAGTGAGTTGCATAGTAAGCGGGAAAGCCAACGGCTGAGCTTGGGCAACCTGGCTTGAGCTCATGCAGTTATGACCACTCTCTCTTCCTCTTGACAGGAAACATGAAAGCTCAGTATTCTAATGGAACTTCATCCAGCTTCTGTCCCTGCCAGACCTCCAGTCAAGTCCCTAATCCCAAACCCTCTCCTTCATGTCCCAAGAGGGTGCAGGGGAGGGCCAGGAGTGCAGGGGCGTGCTCTGACTTGTTTGACATTCATTTCAGCTCCTTTTCTGTCTCTGAGCAGGGGGAAACTGTGAGTGCCTTGGGGGACAGCCTCCCCACCCTGCCTGGTCTGCAACCCTGGGACTGCACTATACAAAATCTGTCAGTCACTGAGTCACTGCCCTGAGTGTAGAAACCCTCAGATCATCCCAGACCTGCTGGTAACTGGCTATGTTGTAACCCAGGCAACTCACTAGGGTTTTTCCTCCCGGCTGCCTGCGCATAGCCTCCCTTCGGACTGGGCCCAGAGGTGCAGGCAGGAGCCTAGGCATCTGCACAGTGACTCTTACAGCTCGGGCAAAGTAGAAGCCACACGCCTCTACTCAGCACGGCACTCAAGGCCACTAACATGTAGCCAGTCCACCTTTTCCTGTCTCTGGCTTCTCCCCACTCCCTAGGCTCCACACTCCCTAGGCTCCACACGCCTGCAGTTTGTACCCCCAGCCATGACCCGCGGTGTCCTGCTGTGTCCGCCTCTCAGCACGCCTTCCCTCCCATTCTCCACCCGCCAAACGCCTCTACCCCACTGCCAAGGCCAGCTAGGGGCACCTGCTCTGTGAGGCCTCATGCCTTCTGCCCTGAAAACGCGATCCTCCCCAGCTTGTGCTCCTGCAGCCCCTGGTGTCCCTCACTCCGATCTTTTCCCCCACCCCAGAGGAGGAGCTTAGCTGCTGAGGACAGACACCAGTACACAGAAGCTCAAAATGCTAGAGAGAGAACGAAGGGCCCAGCCAGTCACCTCCCCTGTTCACCTCCCCTCCTGTGCCTCAGTGCCCTCAACTAGAACCGCGGGTTGAGATTGCTGAGTTTTAAGAGATCTTTGAAGGACTCTAGAATCCCCTTCCTGTGCAATATATCCTAGCCAAAAATACACTCGTGCCTCAGTTTCCCCACTGGGCTTTAGGATTTTAATAAAGGCACTGATGTTCCAGAAAGTGCCATGGGCTCCTAATAAGCCATGGGAGGGGGAGGGGGGCCTGCAGTCCCACCTCCCTGAATTCTAGGAAGGGCTGAGAGAGACCTAAGCAGCGTTAGTGGAGCCTGGGGGCACTCCCTCTGAATGCAAACCAGCAGCGAGCAGTTTACTGGTTTCCCATCTGCCTGATTCTAAGAAATCCAGACCTGTGGGGGTTTTCGTTTTTATTTTTTTTTTTAAATCAGATTCTTGGATTTACTAAATTTGAATTTCAGGGAAGAGGCTTGGGAAAGCGCATTTTCACCAAGCCCCCGGGATAATTCCCACTGCTGAGTGGTGGGAAACGGCGGCTCTGGCGACAGCCTGCCTGGGTTCCAATCGTGTTCCCCGTCCGCCCGTCACGCGCTTCGTCTTGCTCAAGTTAAAGCTGCCTGTGCCACCACATCCTCCTCCGAGAAATGGCCCTGATACATAGCAGCGGCCACAGAAAGGTTATTCTGAGGTTTAACTCAGCATTCTTTCCAAATTCCGGACAGAGCCCGAACAAAACGAGTCCCAGCAAGTGATCGCTGTTATTGGGGCCACCCAATCAATAGTCAGCGGTCAGAGGTCGAAAAGGGCCTTGTTTCCCCAGATTCCGTGACCTAGTACCCGACTTCACAGTTCTCAGAACTTCCCCACCCAGTCTCGCCCGACAATCCTCACCAACTTCCCGAGCTCGGGGTAGGTGGTGTTGCCCCAAACTAACGTTACCCCACGCTCACGACGTCGCCAGCCTCCCCAAGCCCTCCCCGCTGAGCTCTCAGGGGCAGCACGAGTTTGGGGGTACTCAGGGTCCAGCCTCCCCGGGCTCAACTCGCCTGGGCGAAATGGACAGAACCCGGCGCGGTTCCGCGCGTGGGGACGGGAGCGGGATCCCAGCCCGTCGGTGGTCCTGGCGGCGCGGTCTCCTCGGTCCCCGCTCTTTTCCCGGACGGCCGCAGTTGCCCGGAGCGATCCCCAACCACACACCCCCACACTCGGATCCACGCGCGGGCCCTGGATCCTACCTGAGCGCTCTTGCTCCATTCGCCGTCCGAACGCCCGAGCGGGAAGTGGCGGACCCCGGGTCCGCCAGGGTCTGGCCCGCGGGTCGCGGGGCTTTCCTGGGAGCTACATGGAGCCGCCCCGGCTTCCTGCGCCCGCCCTCGCGCCCGGCGTATTTGCATGCGCGGCCCCGCCCGGCACGACCGGGCGCTGGGTCCTGGGAGCTCGTCTGCCCCGGTTTCCCCGCGGAGCAGTATGGATTCCGCGCTCCGCTCGCTGTTCCTAGTGTGAGCGTTGTCCTCTCCTGGCTGCGACCCCGGCACCCCGCCAATTGGCCCGCTGCGCGCTGTAGCCCACGCAGCAGCCCGCCCACGACTCCGCAGTAGTTCTCCCTGGATGGCAGAATAAAAGGCCAACCCGCGATCGGACCTCCCCTCCCCTGCCCGAACCTCCGCCCCCTTCTCCTTCCCTTCCCACCCAGGCCCCTGACCTATCTTCGCAGAGAGGCAGTTGTGTTAGTGATTGGGGTGCGGGGCGACCGAATCCTCCCTTTCCCGACAGCCCGATTACAAAGTGCCAATGTTTGTTCATTGTTTAATAAATGTTTGCAGAGCGCCTGCTCCAGAAAATTTTACATAGTAAAACATCCTCCCTTAGGAAGCCAACCGTGCCCACCAGGCGCAGTTACTCCTTCCTCTACTCCTCTTGGCCGGACTGTGCCTTACCCGTGTCAAGTGCTGAGCACGCAGGCATGAAACAGACACTGGCCTGCCTCTGAGACCTGATGACCAAGTGGGCAAGACAGCCCAGGTGGTGACAGTGCACCAGACTCAGTCCTGGGATCAGTGATGGTTTCCTGGAGGCATTCAGATGGAGGGATGGTGAGCAAATACCTGGAGGGGAGACGTGGCCTGGGGATGTGGGAAAAGTACCTTCACTTAGTATCTACTTTTCCATGCCTTCAGGTGCCAGGTCCTGGGCTGAGGGCTGGAAAGGATGAGAAATAGAGACAGACCCTGCTTTCTAACCCTGGGCATCTGTGAGGAGAGACAAGTGACAAGAAACACAGCCGGCTGTGTACCCCTGTCCTGAACCCTGCGATGGGGCAGCCAGGTGGAAATGGAGAGGTCTGGGGGCAGGATGGGAAGCTTGGGCTTCAAGTGCTGCAGGAATTCTCCAGACAAGGTGTGACTCCCTCTCCTGGACACTGGCACACTCACAGCCACGTTCACACCATTACTCACACATCCATACTCTCCCACACGGTTGCTAGTTGAGCCTAGAATTCAACCCTCGAGCTTTCCCTTGCAAAGATGAAAGAGCACCTTCTCTTGCCCCTTCCTTGTGTCTCTCAACACCGGTCTAATCTCACCTGGAGATGACAGCAAAAGTCTCCCTTCCACGTCCTAAGGGAATGTGGGCTTGGGCTGGGTTTTAATCTGTTTTGTTACTAATAACAGAAAATACCCGGAACTGGGTGGTTTGAGAAAACAGAAGTTTATTCAGCTCATGGTTTGGGGGATCCAAAGTCCAGGGGCATATTTGAGGGAGGGCGTTTTGTAGAGTCCTGCGCACATTGCAAGGTGGGGAGCAGAGTAGGACAGAGGGTCATCCTCCAGTCTCATCCCCTCTCCTTAGAAACCCGCCATGGTTTAGTTTTATGGCCCTGCTCTAAGGACCTTAATCCCAATCTCTTCCCAGAGGCCCCACCTTTTATTCTTTGACATATAATTGATCAAGTTTTCATCCTCTTAATCCCATTACACCGGCTCAACACATGAATTTGGGGAGGGGGTATGATCAAACTGTAGCAGACTATATCCCCTCCCGCTTCCCAAAAGCGGGCTCCTGGCCTGTTTACGTAGCCCTTTGTTCTTTTCTCACTTGCTACCAGATCACCTACGTTTGCAGGCCAACTCTGCTATTTATTATGTGACTTTAGGCAAAGTGGATCATCTCATTGTGCCTCAGCTTCCTCATCTATGAAGTGGGGATAATAATAGACCCACTTCACGGGGTGAAAAGGCAAAGAATAGAAACTGTTGCCCTTAGCTATAGATGCTTTGAGTCTCAATGCAGCCAGCTCTTGTTGGGGCTTTACTGTGTCTGTGTTCAATATCCCCGTCTCCCGTGTTATTAGTAAGGAATCGTAAATTCTTTAGAGACATATAAAAGGAGTGTATTTGGGCCAGCAGGTGGAGTGGTGGTTAAGATGCTGGACACTCGCACATGGCCAACCATGGTTCGAGTTCTGGACTTGGTGGCTTGCTTTCTCATTTCTCTGTCTCTCTCTGGTCAAGTTTAAAAATAAATTAATTAATTAAATTAAAAGAATTATTTAATTTAATTAATTAATTTATTATTCTTCAATTTGACCAGAGAGAGAGAGAGAGAGAGGGAGGGAGCGTGAGGTGAGAAGGCAAGTCGCCAGGTCTGGGACTCGAGCCACAGTTGGCCAAGTGGGAATCTAGTACCTTAACCACCATGCCACCTGTCAGCCCCTAATAAATAATTCTTTTTAAAAAGTTTTGCATTTTAAGTTTATTTACTTATTTACTTTCACAAAAGAGAGAGACAGCCCCTCCAACAGGGTTTTGATGTCCAAATTTACCCCCAACCAGCCCTGGATCACTGGCACACGTGAGCAGGTATATTCAGGGAGTTCTCTGGACAGAAGCCTAGAACCTTCCCATGTGAGTCAACCTCACAGAGCATCATGTTTTGTTTTGTTTTTAAATAATTATTTATTTAATTTTATTATCATTAATATTTATTTTTAATCTGATCAGAAAGCTATAGAGAAAGAGAGGGAAAGTGAGAAAGCAAGCCACCAGGTCCAAGACTTGAACTATGGCCAACCATGTGGGAACCCAGTGCCTTAATCACTATGCCACCTACCTGCCAGCCCCAGAACATCATGTTTTACTGCTGCCCACCATCTGGCGCCAATTCATGTTATTTGTTCTGCTCGGAATGAAGATGAAGAAGTGGAATCAGAGCCCCTTCCCTCAGCCTGTTCCCCTGGTTGAGAAGCAGGATGAAAACAGTGCTAAGAAGGAGAGGGATGGAGCAGGTGTGAGCAGATGTGAAGACATTTGGGAAGTCTGGGGTAGAAACTGGGAATGCAATGTGCTCTCTGTAAGTCTGACATGATGTCAAAACAAGACATTGATGAAAGCCGGGCATTGTGCAGAGGCTCGAGACAGGTAGTAAGTGGGGAGTTCCTCTTCTGTACAGTTTTATTATTCTAATCCCAGCCCAAACTTATCTTTAACTGCTTTGTCAGGCCTTGGAGTGGGCTTCAAGGACTTAAAATAATAAAAACTCTGTGGCCCCATGCAGGGGCTTCCCAAGTCTTGCCTCATAAACTCAGTTCATGTTACATCACAATGCACTTCATTGTTTTCAAGATTATCTTTAAGCTTTTAAAAGATAGTAGACTTTATTTTTTTTAGAACAGTTGTAGATTTACATAAAAATCGAGCAGACAGAACAGAGTGTTCGTGTGCTCCCCTCTTCTGTGCATTATTTTCCCTATCCTCAACATCTTCCATTACTGCAATGCATTTGTCACAATTCTCTTTTTTTGAGAGATTTTTGCTCAACTTTTGAGAGCTTTTTGACAGATTGGGGCATGAGTGCTCACCAGAGAGACAGAGAGAAAGAAAGAGAGAAATCACCCCTTACAGGGCTGGCAGGTGGTGTGGTGGTTGAGGCGCTGGACTCCCACATGGCTGACTGTGGTTCAAGTCTTGAAGCTGGCTGCTTGCTTTCTCTCTCTCTCTCTCTCTCTGTATCTCTCAGGTCAAACTGAAGAACAATAATAATAAGAAATATAATAAAACAATTCTTAAAAAAAAAAATAGAAGAAGAAATCACCCCCCAGGAAGGGTGGCCACACTGCAATCCCTTCTTCTCCATTCTCCTCTCAGTATTTCGGGTTCAAACACACATGTGCCTGGCGTGAGTATCAACCCCCTGGGTCTGGGACTCAAACTGCGGTTGGCCATATTAGAGTACAGTGAAATAACCATTATGTCATCTGGTGGTCTCATTTTTTTTTTTTTTTTTAAGGATTTGTCATAGGGAGCGTTTGCATGCTGGAGAGAGACATAGAAAATAGTGAGAGGGAAAATGGGATGGCCAAGCCATGATCCCTTCTCCTCCATCCTCCTTCTGTGATTTTGGGTTTGCATGCACATGTGTCTGGCATGATTTTCAAGCCATCAGGTCCAGGACTCAAACCACGGTAGGCCATGTGGGAGTTCAGCACCATAACCACTATGCCATCTGCTGGCTCCCATTTGTTAAATTAATTAATATAGATATATTCTTTTTTTAAAATAATTATTTATTTAATTTCATTTTTACTTATCATTGTTATTATTTTTCTATTTGTTCTTGGACACATGTGTTCACCAGAGAGAGAGAGACAGGGAGGAAGGGAAAGTGGGAAAGCAAGTTGCCAGGTCTGGGACTTGAGTCATAGTTGGTCATGTGGGAATCCAGTGCCTCAACTACACCACCTGCAGGCCCCTTGATACATTATTATTAACTAAAATTGACAATGTACATCAAGTTTCACCTTTTCCTTTGAACAGATATATGGGTCTTGACAAATGCATACTGTCAAGGATTGAGATATATAAAATATAGAATAATTTCACCTCTTTAAAAATCCCATTCTCCAACTGTTCATCCTGAACCCTGGAAATTACTGATCTTTTTTACTGTTGCCATAGTTTTCCCTTTTTCAGAATGTCCTGTAGTTGGGATCAGAAAGTACGTAGCCTCTTAAGACAGATATATAAAATATAGAATAATTTCACCTCTTTAAAAATCCCATTCTCCAACTGTTCATCCTGAACCCTGGAAATTACTGATCTTTTTTACTGTTGCCATAGTTTTCCCTTTTTCAGAATGTCCTGTAGTTGGGATCAGAAAGTACGTAGCCTCTTAAGACTGATTTCTCTCATTTAGCAATATAGCATATAAGAGACAGAGAGACAGAAAGCAAGAACTCACCCACCAGAGGGGATGGCCACGCCACAATCCCTTCTCCATTCTTCTCTTGGGATCTTGGGCATGCACGCCCAGTGTGAGTTTTAAGCCATGGGACTCAAACCGTGGTCAACTTTGTGGGAGTCCAGCAACATAACCATTATGTCATCTGCTGGTCTTTATGATATATGTTTTTAAGGTTCTTCCATGTCTTTTCATAGTTCATTTATTTTGCTGACCCATATAGCATTTTATCTATTCACCTATTGAAAGACATCTGGGTTACTTTGGGCAATTATGCATAAAGCTGCTATAAACACTTGTGTGCAGGTTTTTTTTTTGTTTTTGTTTTTGTTTTTGTTTTTTTTTGAGAGGTTTTTTCGCTATAGGGTGC